GTAAATATACAGTTGACTTTGACTTCTGTCTAACCAACGTACTCAAACATTCTGCAGAATTGAAATCTCATCGGAAAGTGTTTACCTCAAAGAACAAATGTGTTTCTCGATGGCTTCTTTTCCTTCGTTATCGAGTGCAAACCATTTCTCACCTAGTTTAGGAGCATCCTCTTTTCCAGTATCTATTACTGAAAGTTGAAAACAAAATGTTATACTTAGATAAAATAGCTAGTAAAAAAGAGTGCAAAAACTGAAACATGCCAGATAGATTAGCTTACGTTGATGAAGTACGTCGGTTTTGCAAGAACCATTTAATTTCCAATATACGTGACCACCACGCCCCACGAAGATAGGCTCTATTCTTGTGGCGTCTGAAGTTCGATTACCTACAAATAAGTGCCAAACATAGAAAAATCAAACAATTAAATACGAGAAATCATTGAAAACAATACGAGAAAGATTATTATAGTATATACAAGTTATCAAAATTTCAAGCTTCGATCCATTTCGAGTTGATTATATTAAACGAGTTGAGCTTCTTAGCCGTAAACCCTAAACCCTAAACTATCAATAAATAAATAAAAGTAGGGTTTTTTACTTGATCTTTTTCGAATCTTAATTAAAAAGAAAAAATATGATGAAATTTGAGCATAGGATGAGTATTTACTTTTGAGAAAGATGCCCTGTGACTCGAGCATCTCAGTATGTGCTTGAGCTGCCTCACGTTTAATACGGGAGATAATCGCTTCATGCTCGGAAATCGTAAGAGCACCATGCCCAGAGATCATTGCTTTGGTGATATCATCTTTCATTTTCTGCTTCAAACTCTTCTCCTGCATGAATACGGAAATTTCAAATTAAAAAAAAAAAAAACCGAATTTAGCTCCATAAAGGAAACCATTTAACAATGTTCTTTACCTTGTCTTTTGCAGCAAGAACTTCTCGTTTAGCTTCCTTGATCTTTTCAGCAAGTTCCGTGTTTTGGTCGTCCATCCAATTCCTCACCTTTCTGTGCAGTGATAAAAACACAATGAACCTGCTGAACTTTCAAAAATTATTACACGTAAAAATAAGTAAAGATACATACTCAGTTTCAAGAATTTCGTCACACAGAATGTTTAAAAGCCTAAGCTTTTCCGAAGCGTCTAAACTCTCGTAATCAGCTGCCGTATCCAAAGAGTCTAGTCCTTGTGCCTTAAGAACGCTTTTAGATTCAGACAAACATTCCTTAAAAGCACGAAACCATGAGCTTTTTCCATTCGATGGACTTAGTGTTGTACTTCTGCAAATGAAATCGATAAAAAAAAAAAAAAAAAAAAAAAAAACAATCAAATTATTCTAGTAAATAAGAAAATTCACTTATCGATTTACTGAAAAGAGGGTCATACTCTTCTCCTTGTTCTTCCTTCAAAATAGACAGGAGGTGGATATGAAATTGAACAGTCAGAGAAAATTTTCCTCTGCGTCCAGTTCGCCCATGCAACAAGTCTTTAAGAACAAGCTCTGGTTGCCCCTTTTTCACATCGAGGATCTGTAAATAGTAAATTAATTTATTGACATGTAAAATCAGCTCAACCAAAAGAAAGACATTGTTGTTTATCGAGACGGATACCGTTAATTTAATTTGGAGTTAAATTATAAAGAAATCACTCGCCTTTCCAAAAACAGAACAGAACTCTAAAAACTGCATGGCGTTGCCTATGTCTTCAGTTCTTACATCAACTCCGGCCACCTTGTCCAACTCTATTCCCATAGGCAATGGAATCTCGGCTTGAATATCTGCATTATCATTTGTCGTGTTTCTTTTGTCCTGTTTTCTGTTACCGTTTTCTAAGGCTAGTACAAAATCGTCTTTGGTAAGAACGACGATATCCTTCTTATTTTCATTTGGATCAACTCCATTATCGACTTTTTTGGTCCCTTGGTTGGGCATTTTATTGGAAACATTCGACTTTCTAGGACTCGTTCTCCTTGCTAATTTGCTGACATCATCTTTTACATCATCCTTAGATTTTTTCGGCTTCTTCTCGGGGACTTGTGAACCAGTTTCTTCAAGCTTCAGTTTTCTTTTATCAGGGGTTTGACTAATTATCTTCGGAGAGGCGTTATTATCTAAATTGCCCTTGTGCACCTTCTTCTCCTTAACTTTCTTCAACTTCTTGTTAACATGATTTGGCACATTTAAATCTACTTTTTCATCAATAGAGTTTTCCTTCCCCCGTTTTCTGGGCGAAGGGACAACTTCCTGTTAAATTCAGAAAACCAGAGCATACATAATAAGACAAACCAATTCACCGAAATAACTTATGGAACGACAAACTTGAGCAAGTTGCTTGAGAAGGCTACCTTTTTCGGCGAAGCATTCTTGTCTGTAATAACTTTTTCATTATTCAAATTCTCAGCTCCTTTAATCAGCATCTCCGAAACAGATGAAAATCCAGTTGCCTTTGCTGTAGTAATAAGCATGCCAGTTGGCTGATGACCTCTTTTCTTCCTAATTAATGCAGAAATAATTATCATTTTAGCAAGTCAGAAAAAAAAAAGAAAAAAAGAAAAAAAACCACTAAAAAATAAGTCGAAAGACTCACATGCAAATGCTGCAGTTACAAATGCCTCTGCACTTCGGACAACTCCATTCCTCTGCAACATCTACTTCCATTGCTTCCTCTCCATATCTGACTTAGGGAAGAATCGATTCGGTAAGTATATACAATCACTCAAACAACAATTAGATTATTAAAAGAAATATAACTATTGTAATAACGAAATCAGCACAAGTAACCTGTTCAAGAGGCACTTGTGACAATACATGATGGCGCATGGCTTGTTATTCCTCTGATTCTTGCACGCTGCCACAAAATCCCTGGTTTTTTGGCGACACTGCAAAATATCGAGTTTAATTGTGAGAAAAAGTGAACCAATTTACGAAGGAATAGTACGAACTTACAATCAAACATGAATTTGCTGAATGAAACTAAGTCATTTCTCCTTATCTTTTTTCGGGTTTTTTTTTTCATTTATAACTTGGTGGCCTAATCACCAAATTTTGTAAAGATCAATCGGTAATAATTAAAAACTTTGAATCTAATTAGGTCGAAAATTGGTTGCTGTTCAAATCGAGCTTTCATCTTGACATGCAATAATCAAGTCTACAACATAAACTTGAGAACAATATGACAATAAAAGAATCAATACTTTTCGAGTTACTTCATGATTTAGTTTAAAGTTTAACTTCACACTTCAGAAACGTATACGTCGTACATCTCCTACTTGTCCGAGTGCTGAGACATAATTATTCAAACTTTTCAAAGGATTACCAAACAAAACACCCAATTAATTTGTGCTTCACTAAAACTCTAAAAATGTGGTTAATATTAGCTACTTGCATGCAGCATATATCTAACTACAAAGGAACATATAAATTAACCGATGCAGCTAACATATGAGAATAGAGTTTGTAAATTGGAAATGAATTTTTGCGCTCGTTTCAATCCGATTGAAACAAAAACATGTCATTATGAATTCATATTCCAATTCACCAACCAAAAATGTAATATCAGATTTTTTAAATCGGAATTTTTCGAAAGTGCTGATTTCGATCTCATTCGTCCGATTTTCACCCACACTAACAGGCCACTAGATAACTGAAAATTTAAATATAAAAAAAAAAAAGAAAAAAAAAAGGTACACTACACTGTATGATTCATTTTTCCCCAAAACTCACACTTCAACAAAACATCAAACCAGAAACAAGGGTTTCGTTGGAGGAACGCGTAAAACCTCACCTGATGACAAGATTTTCCGTTGACGGAATCATAAATCCGGCCGCCGACGATTCGGATTCGGGGGGAATTATTCCGTTTCGCCGGAGAAGAAGGAACAGCATTCTCCTCGGGCTGGCTTCCATTCTTCTTCAGAGGGCTTTTCACTCTCTCCTTCTTTCTAGCAACGCTCAAATTCGAAACAGTGCCTGAGTCAACCGCCATTGCTGCCCGGAGCTTCCAAACAATTGGGGGTGATTTTTTTTCAAGGAGAGATAAATTTCTATTTTTTTCAAGACGAATTTGAATATGGCTTAGATCGGACAAAAATATACTCCATTTGTTGTCTGAGGGGTGCGCTAATTGAGTGAGAACAGATTCTTTGAGAAGGGGGGAAGAAGCGGCAACCGTAAAATTTACCATCGTTTTTTCCAAGTCTTTCCCGCCATTGAATTCGCCAGTTTTGCAATTGGAGAAAGTACTTTGCGCCATGTTTGTTTTATCGTAAAAGTGGGGAATGGAATATCCTTTTGGAATTGGGATTAGGGTTGGAATTGGAATTCAAATTGGAATGTGGCCATGTGGGTATATAAGGGTGTTGCTATTTGCAGCGTGACTTTTACTGAAATTGACTTATTTGCAGCGGAACTTTTTTCATTTAATTTTTTTTTTTAATTTCTCTCTCCTATTCCCAAACTCTCTCTAGCAATTTGAATTTCGTAAATTTTTTCGACTTTGAAACCGTAGCAAACGCGGCTCGATTTCGGTAAATTTTCAATATCCTACTACTTTTAATTAGTTTTATTTCCAATTTAGATAAAAACACATGTTTAGGATTAGATCTAGCAAAATTTCAAAAAAAAATAAATAAATAAATAAAATTTTGAAGCTCCCGTTTTCTGGAGCACGGAAACTCAAAGAAAACTCAAATTTTCATGCTCTGAAGAACGGGAGATTCAAACGGCTTGAATCCTCCGTTCTGCAGAGCACGGGAACTTGAATTTTCTTCGAGTTTCCGTGCTCCAGAAAACAGGAGCTTCAAAGTTTTTTTTTTTTCGAAATTTTCATGGTTCCCATCCTCTAGGGCACGGGAAACCCATGTTTCCGTCTTCTAGGGCATGGGAACTTGGTGTTCCCGTTCCACACAGCACGATTGTTTTTTTTTTTTTTTTTTGAATTTCCCGTTTTGTGTAGCACGGGAAACCCAAAAAATTGGGTTCTCGTGCTGCACAACACGAAAATACCGCAAAAAAAATAGAAATTTCACTAATTTCTTCGATTTTATCTCGTAGAAGTCATCTGAATCGGCCATTATGTTATTAGTTGTTGTCGGGCAGTCGATTTATCAAACAAACACAAAATTCTTTTTTTAGTTGAGAGCGTTTTGAGTTTTTTATAAAGTTGAGAAAAGTTGAAATGAAAGTACAGCTGCAAATATGCCAATTTCAGTAAAAGTCCCGCTAAATTAGCAATTCAGTTATTTAAAGGTTGTTTCGTTAAGTTTATAAGAGCATCTCCAACCATGTGGTGTTTGGAGTGCTAAATGCTATAATTTTACAATTTTACCATTTATGAACTAAAATTCATGCTCCAACGGGAGAGCTATAATTTTGCTCACCAGCTAAAACCTAAGATGGAGCTGGTATATATACCTGCTACTATTCACGTATGGTATATGATTAAAACATTAAAATATTACATGACCCCAACCATCCCACATACAATGATAATAGTTAAAGTCAAATAAATAAATTATGGACCTCTAGTGATAGTGAAAACCAAAATAAATAGAGTGTATTTTGTATTTGTTATTTACGTCAGTTTTTTTTTTTTAATGGTTATTAAAACTTGAATTGTTTTATATTAAGTATGTTTGATATATGTAAATTCGATTAAAACTAGGGTAAATAGCACTTAACCCCCTTGTGGTTTGGACATTGTGCACATGACCCCCTTATGGTATGAATTTAAGCACATAACCCCCTTGTGGTTTTGACATTTTGCACATGACCCCCTTATGGTATGAAATTAGGCACATAACCCCCTTGTGGTTTTGAAATTTTGCACATGACCCCCTTATGGTATGAAATTAGCACATAACCCCCTTGAATAGAAAACTGGAAAAGACTAAATTACCCCTATCAAGTGAAAAGTTCTTGTTTTAATTTAAAAATAATTATTCTATAAAATGAAAATCTTAATGGATTTTTTTGTAAAATGAGAAATATAATATATTATTGTGTTTTTTCTATTTTACCACACATATATTTTTTTTTTTAATTTAATTTTCATTTCAACTTTAGAGAAATGTTTTTTTTAGATTTTTCCAAAAGAATAAAAAAAATAAAGACTTTGTTTCTTAAAAAAATTAAAGTTCGATAACAATTATAATATAATATATTATATAGAAAATAGTAATATAATAATCATAATTAATGATAATGTTAAAGATTTTCAAATTGATTTTTAAAATCGAATAAATTGTCAATCGTACAATAACTAGTATTTTATACCTTTTGTGTTGTAAAATTAAAAAAAACACAATAATATATTATATTTCTCATTTTACAAAAAAAAAATACATTAAGCTTTTCATTTTATAGAATAATTATTTTTAAATTAAAACAAGAATTTTTTACTTGATAGGGGTAATTAAGTCTTTTCCAGTTTTCTATTCAAGTGGGTTATGTGCTAATTTTATACCATAAGGGGGTTATGTGCAAAATTTCAAAACCACAAGGGGGTTATGTGCCTAATTTCATACCATAAGGGGGTCATGTGCAAAATGTCAAAACCACAAGGGGGTTATGTGCTTAAATTCATACCATAAGGGGGTCATGTGCAAAATGTCCAAACCACAAGGGGTTAAGTGCTATTTACCCTTAAAACTATTTGTAGAATACATATTTTTTTATAATATTATATATATATATATATATATATATATATATATATATATATATATTTGTTTAATTATTTATTTAAGTTTTTTTAATTGTTTATTTTCTATTGTACATCTATATAAGGAAAAAAATTAATTACACACAACTATTATAATAGAATAGTTGAAAATCAATAAAATATAATAAAATACTAAAATATAAATGATATGGTTGGAGAAGATAGTAAAAATTGAGTTGCTATAACACTATTGATGAGCTATAATAGATATAACATTCATGTTTTTAACTCTCCACCTTGGAGATGCCATAAGCTGTTAAAATAGCTTAAGATTTTTGAAAATACATAAAATTTTAAGAAAGAATTTAAAATTTCAAAAAATAAGTTGCTCAAGAGCTTTTAAGATCTTTTAAAAATTAAAAAGTACATTCACCTACATTTTTATTTAATATCTTATAATGAGTAAAAATAACTTATAAACTCAGTATATAAACACTTTCAAAATCTTATATATAAAAGTAAGAAACGTTATGGCAACCTAAAAAACTCTAATGTCATATTTGTAATTTTTTTAATATTAATTATTAGTATTTTTTCATCTCCTATTTTCGAGTTTTTTTTTCTCCAATGACCTTCATAACAAATCAAATTTTCAAATCCACTAGCAAAATTCTAATCCGTGCAGATAGTATATTTATTTTACTATTTCTCTATCTCTTATACACACCGATGTGGATTTATTTAAAACAATGTAATTATCATATATTTATTTTTTCTTCCTTTTTGCAGTCTCGTGCGTCGTAGTGGGAGAATTACTAGTTAATTTTAAAAATAAGACGTCATAGTTTATCAGCTCTTAAAACAATTTATCAGACACTAAAGTTTATCAACTGTTTAAAATAAGTTTAGTCAAAACGAGCTCTTATGAGATGTTTAACCAAGTGTTGTATTTGTGTTGCATGCGTGTTCACTTACATATATGTACATAATCAAGAGAATAAACATGAATAAATTGCAATTTATATAGCAAATCCAAAGGACAAGAAAAACGAAGTTATTGATCAAAAACAAAAGCAACTAAAATGAAACAACATTACTACATGAGATGCTATTAGCCTATTACTACTTGATCAACAAAGAAAATAATTATTCCCTCCAACTAATTAACTACATAATTAGTGCCTAATTAATCCCATAGTTGGAGGTCAAGTGATGAACAACTTCTAACCTAGCTCCAAACCTAAAAATACTACCAATAACAAAAACATTAAAAAAAAATCTCTAGCTATATATATTAGTTATATATATCGATCAAACTCGATCGTCTGCATCGTCGAGTCGACTCATACCAACGGCCATGTTGACCGGGTCGTTCGGGTCGTTCATAAACCTCTTCCAGAACCAATGACTCCTCCACACCTGAGTCATCTCCTCGATCGGAATATTCTTCGTCTCTGGCATGAAGAAGTAGCAAAACACCGTCATCACCGCCACGAAGAAGGCGAAAAAGATGAACAAGCCGTACTTCATCGCGCACAGCATGGTGAGGAAGCACTGCCCGACGATGAAAGTGAACACCATGTTCACCGCCACCGTGACGCTCTGTGCGGCCGACCGGATCTCCAGAGGGAATATCTCACTCGGGTAGAGCCAGCCGAGCGGGCCCCACGACCACGCGAACCCCGCCACGTACACGCATATGCACCCCACCACCAGAGCCGCGAACCACGTCTGTATATTCGCGACGTTTCCCGACACTCCGAATTTCCACCCTATAAGGGCGGCGATAATCACCTGAAAGACGAACATCTGGACCCCGCCCTCGAGGAAAAGGCTCCTCCGCCCCCACCGGTCGCATCCGTAGATCGATACCCCGGTGGCGAACATGTTGACTACTCCAGTGATCACGGCCGACATTAAGGACGCGTCGTCCTTAAAACCGAGGCTCTTGAAAAGGACGGGCGCGTAGAACGTGATGACGTTGATTCCCGTAAACTGCTGAAAAAAGGGGATGAGGATCGTCATTGTTAGTTGGGGTCGGTAGCACCTTTTGTTAAGGAGATTCTGCATGGGATTTTTTACGAGGTTAGCTTCGTTTTTCGCCGCCACCATGTCGTTGAATTCCGCGTCCACATTGTTGACGCCGCGTATGCGCTTCAGGAGGGCTTTGGCTTCCGTCTCCTTCCCTCTTTGGATCATGGAGTTTGGCGTGTCCGAGAGGCAGAACGAAGCGATCAGGATTATCAGGGCGGGGACTCCGGCTAGGCCCAGGCTCACGCGCCACCCCCAACCGCCGCTTATCTTGGCGGTGAAGTAGTTGATCACGTTGGCGCACAGTATCCCTACGGTGACCATCAGTTGGAAACAAACGTTGAATCTCCCACGGTAGTTGTATGGGGACATCTCCGATAGATACAGAGGCACCGACTATACGCAAATCGAGAAATCGAGTCAGCTAATGAGTAAATAGATCTCTGTGCATTCTGCTGACTGATCATCTCAACTGAAAGCTTAAGATCAGTTTTACTTGATCTGATATATATATCGAACATTATTTAATATTAAAATCTCCAATAATTTTCTTACGCGCATGCATGCGCATGCGTGCGTACCTGGTTAGCGAAGCCAACGCCAACACCGAGAAGAAGACGGCCGCCGATGAGCATGGCAATGTGGACGGCCGCTCCGGTGAGGGCGGCGCCGATCAAGAAGATGAATCCGGCGATCATCATTGAAATCCGGCGGCCGAATTTCTTCGTCACCGCGGCCGCAATGAAGGAGGCGACGAGCGCCGCCAGGTAGAGGGAGGAGGTGAAGAGCTGTAGCTTCTGGCTGTCGAACTTGCAGTACTGGTTGGTCGAGGTGTCCGCGTGCTCCTTCTCGTAAACCTCGGGGAAGAATTTTTGCAAGAAAGGTGCCATGGAAGTCACCCCACCTAGACAAAAAATGAAGAAAAACATATTCATGCATGCACGTAACTAGACATGCAAAAATGTGTATGTATATACAGTGGCGAATCCAGGATTTTTGTTAAGGGTGTTCGAACTTAAATATAGTAAAAAATATATTGGTTGGCTACTAGTTTACGGGGGTTCGAGGGCAGCGCCCCCGAATTTTTTTTTTTTGAATACTGTACACATTAAATAATAAAAAATCTTTAAAATTTTTAAATTTAAAGGGATTATTTTACCATTTTTGGGCAAATTTAGAAAATATTTAGACATAAAATTGGTGAAGTGGTAAACATATTAAAGTTGCAAGTGACAAAATGTACGTTTCATTAACAGATTTTGAATTTTCAAAAAGAAAAAAAAACCCACATAGTTGTAAATTTAGAAAAAAAAAATTGAAATAATACATATATATATACAATATTTAGAATTTTGGAATAATTTATATTATATTTAATATTAAATAAATGGTAAATAAATTAAAGTTACAAATAGCAAAATATATGTTATATTAGGAGATTTTTTTTTAATATTAAAAGATACCTACATATTCAACATGTTTTAAAACAATTGAAATATTGAATTTTGGAATAATTTATATTATATTTAATATTAAAGAAATGGTAAATAAATTAAAGTTACAAATAGCAAAATATATATTATATTAGGAGATTTTTTTTTTAATATTAAAAAATACCCACGACATTTTTTTAAACAATTGAAATATTGTATGTAAAGGAAAATTAGGAATAAAAAAGAAAAAATAATAGAGAGATTCAGACTCTCAGTTAGGTCTCGAACCCTGAACCTCTGCAGAATTCTGTAGAGCACTTAACCAGTTCAGCTACAGCATTGCATTGGCCAGGTTTTACACTTACAGTTATATAACACTAAATATATAGGAAATAATTTTTTTTTAAAATCAAGGGTGTGCAGTAGCACACCCTTGGACCACCACACTAGATACGCCACTGGTATATATATATAATAGATACTACATGCAGCACGTACCGGATATACCGAGATCGAAACCAAAGATCAAACCACCGGCGGCACCGGCCAATACGGTTATGATAACGTACGGTGTGAGTTTTCCGGGGTAGGAAGGAGCATTTCCTCCGGTGGCCCTACTGCCACCATCAAAGCCAGGAGCCATGCAAATATATATGTATGTATATATTTATAGTGTGTGTGTGTGTGTGTGTGTGAGAAACAAATAAATGAGATAGAGAGACAGAGAGAGAGAGAGAGAGAGAGAGATAGAGAGAGAGAGAGATAGAGATAGAGATAGAAAGAGAGAGAGAGAGATAGAGAGAGAGAGATAGAGAGATAGAGAGAGAGAGAGAGACAGAT